ACACACTTCTGGTAATGCCAGGGGGTGTGGCATATGCAAATAAGTTATGCTAATGAGCTCCTGCACCTCTTTTTCTATGACCCCTGGCGGTACCAAAACCTTGAACCTGATCCAGGACTCAACTTGGAGCCCATGCAGCTGGCGAAGCACTGGTTGAATATGTGCCCTCGATGGGGTCCCAGTAAGGACCCGCGCCGCTTGCATTCGGGACAAGCTGTAATTTCCAGATCAGACTGAAGGGCAGCCCCGCGTAGAGCGTGTTACAGTAGTCTAGCCTGGAGGTGACCATCGCGGGGATTACTGTGGCTAAGTCAGGGCGAGACAGGAAGGGGGCCAGTTGCCTGATCTGTCGCAGCTGGAGGAATGCCCATCTTGCAGCGTTTGCGACCTGGGGGCCTCCGTCGATCAAGCGGCATCCAGGAACACACCCAGGCCCTTGGCGGTTGGTCCCGGTCTTCTGACAGGCAACCTCTCTTTGTCTTTCCCCAGGGAAGAGAATGGGCCGGGGGGCTTCGTCGCCTTGAAATGCCCCACGAATTCGAACCTCTGCACCTTGATCTGGGTACTCAATGCAGACCTCAAGGTAAAAAAACCCAAAAAACACATCCGGCATTTTGGAAGACCTTGTGGCCCTGAGCAACACCCAGACGCAGCCTCATGCCGAGTCTGACCATTCGTCCATCAGGCCGGCAGCAGCTCTCCCTGCTCTCGGGCAGAGGCCTTTCCCATCACCTCTTACCTGATTCTTTTTTCGCGGGAGGCGCCAGGAACGGAACCTGCGGCCTTCTGTGTGCCAAGCAGACGCCCTGCCCCTGAGCCATGACCCCCTCCCTCTTGAACGGAACCGGTCCGTTCTCTGCTGTTCTGCCTTTTCCTGCCACCTTTCGGAGCGGTGGGTGAACTGGCCTCACCTTAAGGGCCGGGGGGAAGGGAAGGACCGGGATCCCGGTTGCTAATGCCTCCAAGTGGAAACCGAGAGATAGCTGCTGTTTGGTGTAGTGGTTAAGTGCGTGGACTCTAATCTGGGAGAACCGGGTTCGATTCCCCACTTCTCCACTTGCACCTGGCTGGGTGACCTTAGGCAAGCCAAAGTTCTGATAAGAGCTGTCTTTGAAAAAGAGCAGTTTCTGTCAAGAGCTCTCTCAGCCCCACCCACCCCACGGGGTGTCTGTTGTGGGGAGGGGAAGAGAAAGGAGATTGTAAGCCACTCCGAGACTCCTTTGAGTAGTGGAGGGCAGGGTATAAATCCAATCTCTTCTTCTTTTTCTTCTATTCCCCAATGTGGCACCTGTTCTCCTCCTCCTCCTTTTTCTTCTATTATTTCTTAGCTGTGTTTCCTGTCAAATGTGTCCAAAATGTTTTATTTGTTTTACGGCTGGTATATAAAAATATGCATGTCCCACCTTTTCTCTCACCCCACAATGAGACCTAAAGCAGGTGGTAAAAAGTAAAGGTAAAGGTTCCCTTGCTCGAAAGCCAGTCGAGTCCGACTCTAGGGTTACGGTGCTCATCTCCGTTTCCAAGCTGAAGAGCCAGCGCTGTCCGAAGATGTTTCCGTGGTCATGTGGCCGGCATGACTAAACACCAAGGCGCACGGAACACTGTTACCTTCCCACCGAAGTGGTCTCTATTTATCTACTTGCAGTGTCTTGCTTTCGAACTGCTAGGTTGGCAGGAGCTGGAACTAGAGACGGG